GGCTTAAACAACCCTCACTTATTTTCTCACAGTTAATCACTAGAAGTCAAGATTAGGGTACCAACATGCTCAGATTCTGCTGAACACTCTTTCTGGCTTGCAGATGGCCCATTCTTGACATTCTCAAAATACGTGCTCATATCGCCTTTCTTCAGTGTGTGAGGATGGAGAGAGGGAGAAAGCTCTGGTCTCTGTTCCTCTTATAAGGACAACAGAAAGCAGAGTCCTTATAAGATGCAAAGCCACTCATTGGGGCTTAGTGCTCTAACATGTGAATTTGTGGGGGACATGTCAATCCATAGCATTTTGTCCCTGGTCCCCCAAAATTCACAACCTTGTTGCATACATTCATTCTATTCCTACAGCCCCAAAAGTCTTAACTCATTTCAGCATGAACTCTAAAGTCTAAGTCCAAAGTCTCATCCAAATATCACCAGATATGGCTGAGACTAGAGGTACAATTCATCCTGAGACTAAATTCTTCATGTGTTAAACAGGTGGGTTATGTGCTTCCAAAATACAATGACGGGACAGGCATAGCATAGATGTTCCCATTACAAAAGGAAGGAACAGGAAACAAGAAAGGGGTAATGAGTCCCAGCCAAGTCCAAAACCTAACAAGGCAAATTCTATTAGATCTTAAGCTTCAAAAAGAATCCTCTTTGGCTCAATGTCCCTCTTTCCAGGCTTGCTGCAGTGGCAGTGTCACCCCCCACAGCAATCTATGGTGACCAACCCTTGAACCCAAGAACAGCCTTGCCCCAAGGGCCTGCGGGAGGAGTGGCTGCCCAGGCAATCGCAGCATCCACTTTGGGGTCATTCTTCTTTCCTTGAAGAACAGCACATATCATAGCAGGACAGCTCTCTGATCTGGTCTTGTTCAATCCAAGAAGTCTGACAGCTTTCCTTCATTCTGTCACAATATCTCTGTCCCCTTTTGTCCAAACTGGCAGTGTCTCTGCTGTTATAATCCCATTTTTATTCCTGGCTTCTGCTGAGATAGGTGATTCGATCATGGAGAACCTCTTTCTGGAATGCCCATCCAGCCACATCCTTGGTGTTCTCTCCAGAACAAGCTTCTTCATTTTGTGCAGTAAGGATAGGCTGACAAGTTTTTCAAATCATTAAGTTCTGGTTCCTTTTTGCTTGACAATTCCTTCTTAAATTCACTCTCTCCTCTCACATTTTACTACAAGCAGTCAGGGGGAACCAGGCCACTCTTTCAACACTTTGCTTAGAAATCTCCTCAGCTAAATATCCAATTTCATTACTTGCAAGTTCTACCTTCTACAAAACGCAAGAACATAATTCAACCAAGTTCTTTGTAATAAGAAACACCTTTTCTACAGTTTCTAATAAAGACTGTTTCTCACTTCCACTTAAGATCTCACCAGAATGGCCTTAGCATCCTTATTTATATGAATATTCTGTTGCTAGCAATATAGGCTTTTCCTAGCATGTACCTCAAAACTCCTCCAGCCTCTACACATGATCCAGTTCCAAAGTTCTTTCTAGCACCCCACTTCTTGGTACCAAAATCTATGTTAGTCTGCTAGGGCTGTCACAACAAAATACCACAGACTGGTGTCTTAAAGAACTGAAATGCATTTCTCACAGTTCTGGAGGCTGAGAAGTCTAAAATCAAAGTGTTAGCAAGATAGGTTTCATTTTGAACAAACTCCATTGTCTCGTAAGGACATCAGTCCTACCAGATGAAGGCCCTACCCTTATGGCCTCATTTAATTTTAATTCCCTCCTAAAGATCCTCCCTCCAAATGTCACACTGGGGATTAGGGCTTTAACATATGAACCTGAGGAGATGGGGAGACAAAATTAGGTCCACAGCACCTTGCTACGGAGTTTGCCTTTTATCCTAAGAGAAATGGGGTATTGTTGAACATCTTTAATGAAAAGGCAAGGTCCAATATTTCTCTTCTTATTTTTTTTACACATTTTAAAGAGGGGTTCAGTATAATTCCAAAGAACATATAAGTCAACAATTCAACCAAAGGCACTCTTGCCCATAGGGAATGGGAAACACAATTCCCTCCACCTGTCAGTAGCATCTTCAGTCCCCTGGATTCTGCTTTGGCTCCTCTATAAATTATTTATTGTTCCTGCTCCTAATTGGGATCTGCATAGTATCTGCTCATTAAGCTTGAATTAAACATCACTTCACAAGAAATTGACAACTGATAATAAAGGGAAAGCTACCATTATAAATTATCTGGTACTTGTATGGTAAGGCAGATACTGGAGTTTACTTTTTCAAATGGGTCAAGTACAAGACTCAGAATTTTTGCCTTGCAGCCATGGAATGATATTTTGAAATGCATATGCCTAAAGAATTACATGATCTTTGCAAATAATTTGACAGATCTTTGAGCTTGTATTTTATAGCAAAAACTTGAAGTGCTTATTACTAGTTAATATTACGTCTATGTAAGAAGCATCTCAGCATATGTTGTATGGTCTCCAAATTATAGAAATGTCACACTATCAAGAAAATGGCTTGAAAAGAATCTAGAAAAACTTTATACACACAAGGATTTTTAATATCCCGCATTTATGTACTCAATGTAGTTTTCATAGATCACAGATCTGTCATGCACCATGATTATGGGTCTGTGCAAGTTGAGAAAAGGAAACGCATTACTGGACAGGAGTCCGAACATCTCATTTATGGATATTCAATTCAGTTGTAAAGATAAAGCAATGAAAGACATTAATGAGCTCTGGTGCTTAGTATTGCATTGCAAACTGGAACACAACCATGGAACTGCTTAAAAATTAAACAAGTTTAACCTCTAAATGCTGCAAATGTGTGGCTCATAAGGGCCGTTCTTTTCCAAGAACTTGTTCAGGTTCATGCTGAGTTTCAGTGAAGCATGCTCCCAGACCGAGTAGCATAAACTCAGAATCAGTTTACATATGGACATTCTTGGGAACTTGCTGTGAAAAGCTGCTAGTCTTTTGCAATGTTTTTCCAGGCCATCCACACAATTTGGATTATTACTAGTTATAATCTGGTACCAAATCCAAATTTGGTACATTGAGCAGATACAGACTTGCTGAAAGAGATTACGTATGCAAATTTTTTACTTTCAATGTGTACACATAAGTGGGGATGAACTAACTGAAGAAAATTGCCTTTTCTCCTCTAAAGTTAAAATGAATGTAGCACTGGTGTAAAGAAAATAATAATAATATAATAATAAGCCTCCTTAGACAAGCCTGAGGACTCTGACTATACCCAGGGTAGGAAGTAAGGACAATACAAGTTCAAGAACAAGCAGGCCCACCTACACCTCCTGTCAGGGTCTTTTCAGTAGGCCTAAAGCTTCCATTTTTTTTTCACTTTCACCAATGATCACATACTGTTGTTAGAGTAGGTAGGTCATTAGACATACGCAGGGAGAAGGAGGGGGACTTGGTTGAATGCTTGCTTACATTCTACACATTTTGTACAAGCGGTTCCAGTGAGTAGGGAGTGAGGGTATAGATAGTAAACCAGCCAAAATGGGTCGGTTCCAACATGGAGGAGAAGCTGACACTGACTTCCCCTCCAGATACAGTATACACTTGTTAACAGTAAAATTCACTCCCCTTGGTACAAATCACACCTCCCCATGCCATGACAGTTTGGGGGAGAAGCAAACATAGCCAAAAAACTCCCCAGCGTGGCATTAAGGTAGAGCAAGCCTCAACAGCAGAAGACTCTACCCGTTCCCTTTGAAATCTAATCTTACTTACTAGTGAAAATTCATCTTCCTTCATGTAAAAAAGGCTCCATGTTGTTCCCTTGGCACAACCCCCTCGGGGCCTACCTGTGCCCCCACCCCAGGCATGTACTCTTATTTTTCTCTGAACTTTATTATCCAAATAATACAGCTCAACTGCTTTTTCTCACCTGTTTGTTCTTGAATTCTTTCTCGTAACAAGACCAAGGACCCATCTCCGGCAACACAGTCACATAGTGCCATTTAAAAAAAAAGAATTTAAATTTATTAAATGCTTACTAGGTGCACATACAGATACATAAACTTAATTGTAATAAAATTCTTATTTGGCACACACTGCTATTCCATTTTACAGATGAAGAAACTGAATCTTGGAAAGGTTAAACAACTTGCGACGGTCAGACTGCCAGTAAACGCGAGCAATTTCCACTAGTCCGTGCATCTTCGTATCTTAATTTTTATTCCAGAGTATAAACACCAGATTTATATTTTCTATATTCATTACAGTGTCTAGTACAACAGTGCCTATGTGAGAAACACTCCGCAAATGCAGCGATAGGTGAATATATGGTAACTATACACAGAAGTGAAGGGAAGAGAACTTATTTTACTGCAATGGTGGTTCTCCTGCCAATACATCCTTTTGGGGTCTCTATTTTTCTAATCATTCAAAACTTGATCTCTGTGGTCACTTTTCTTGAATAAAATCAGTCCTTAAAAGGATTCAGTTTACAAATGCTTCATTATCTTTTATCTTCCTATGGAAACTATGCTCAGAATTCTTATACTTAGGTACACCAATCAATCTTCCAGATTCTGGAGAAAGATTTCTACATTTATTATTATACATTGTACACCAGAAAGGGCTCAATAAAGAATCATTTATAAGTAATCCATTATCAAAAGCAGTCTATGGATACCAGGGCACAGCTGACAGATGAATTACCTGGATTCTTTTAGTCAAACCAGAATTTGGACTGTTAGCTTTTTATTTTTACTATTTTTTTGTATTGAAAAGGAAGTGATATTTAATCTACAGATTAAAGACCCTAAATGATATGCAGGATACATTAAAAATTTGGTTTTGAAATAGGTTTGAATTTAAAATACATCTTACAATGATTTTAGTAGCTCAGGCACTCCAGAACACAATGTGGAGGTGCAACCATTATGTGATGACTTCTGAGTAGTCCAAGGGGATAAAGGCCTTTTCAAATATGGGAAGAAATTAAATCTCTCTACAGCATTAAACTCTAACAGCTACTGTCCCTTATAGACCACACTATTATTGTCAGTTTCATAGACTTTTACTGTATAAAGAAACCCCACAGGAAATAATTTCTGGAGGCTTTCCCAGATATACACAGCTACATTTTCTGCCGTGCTTACAGTGTCTGCAAAGTACGGCACATCAAGGTCCAGATTCTTCTGATCAATAGGCTTCATAATTACCTCCTCCATATGCTCTTTGAGGTCCATCAAATTCATTACCATCCCTGTGATAGGATCAATCATGCACAAAGACCAACAATGAAGCAATACTGATTTGAGCAGAATTTTTCAACACAGAGCCTATCACGTTGGCTGAAAAGAAGGCCCAGCCATCTGCACAAACCACACAGGTATTTTCATTCAACACGTACCACTCTGTGTACTGTCACCTCACCTTTGTAACTGTGACTGTGGCCATGTGGATTGTTGCATTTCCCAAATAGTCTTGTTTTCTTCATTACTCAGAGATCCGCTGTGCGGCCAGTGCATCGCACTGAAGGAGATGAGGAGGGACAATCGCGTCCTGCAGCGACGCCCTGAGCCCACGTGCTCATCACCTCGCTCTCAGCTCTTTAAATCCAGTCATAAATTCCTTAAGACAGGCAAGAGCATTACATCAACGATTTTCAGCTCCTTTGGTCACAGCTATATCCACAAAATCCTAAAAATACCTTAGCTGCCAACTGGCATTCAGATGTATGTGCAATGCTGGCAGGTTCATGTTGAATCGCCTCCTACAGAAATTCATCTTTTCTTACCTAGAATAAGGTTATTTCTGAAAATCTAATGAGTAGGAAAATAGAAAATTGCTTATTTCAGAGAAGATGGATCTGCTTTCTTTTTTTTTCACTTTTGTTAACTATTAAGTCTTTTCTATCTCATTAAACAATATTTGTAGCTGTGATATGAGATGTCCCAGAAGTAAAACCCCACCCTCTTCACACCTGTCTCCCACTTAACCACCAACCTTTCCAGCACTACAGAAGAATCCAGAGGAGGCAGGCTGTATAAATTTGGGAAAAGGGAATGGTAAGATAAGAATAATGGTGTGGTTTTTTTTAAAGATAGCTGATTTATATCTCAAATAATATGATACTTGACTTTGTTTCAATAGCCAAAAGTAGCAGGAGCTTATTTTGCTTGCCAATTACAAATCAAAATCTAATTTATCATCCACTAGCAAGACTTCAAGGTCTTTTTCACCATCAGTGAAACTTTCCAGGTTTTTCTAATCCATCTAATGTCTGTATTTCACATTATTTTGCCCCATAAGTATCGAGTTGCATCTGCCAAAACTAAATCTCATTCTACTAATTCCTACTCCTGTTACTAAGCTTTTCAGTCCCTTCATATGACTTTTCCAGAGAGAGCACCCACTACACTTCAGCACAAAGCCCATGTCCTGTTTGACACACTGCAACATGTCTGATAAACAGTGCCCCTGTATCATGTAAGTATATAGTCATTCAACCTCCATATACACACTGAAATAATCCAGGTCCCTGGGCACGCATCCCGCATACAGAAATCCATGCCAAGCCATTTCCTTCTGAAGGCATGCATGGGTATGCACCCTGCAGTGAATTCTCTGCTAAATCATAGGGATTATCAGAAATTGCAGTGCTCAGTAACAATCACTGACCTTGCAGACACATTAAGCTGAGAAAATAAAATGACTTCATTATAAATTCCCAAATCCTACAATTAAATATTCTACAAGCCTTCCTATTCATGTCTCAAGTATCATCCAAAGTTCTGAGCTTGAGTACAGAAGAGCATTGACTTCAATATTTTCTTCCCAACCTAAACCAAATAGCAACTATATAACCTCCATATAAACCAAATGAAATACTGACTGCGTAATCCATTAAGTACAACAGAATGATTCAGGTTATCTGCCAGGCTGGCACTCTGCAAATGCCCTGAACACAGCACAACCGATGCTGAATCTCCCAATTATAGAAATGTGTATGCCCACTGTGAGCTAATTGTCTAGTTGCTAATAATGATATTAAGTATAGGAGATTTCCTGATTAGTAGGCACCAAGACGGATGGTAAACAGATGAAAAAGAACACTACTGGGATTGAAATCTTGGATACATTCCCACCCCTGACATGAAACTACTGTCTTTCTGGGCAAAATAAAACTTCTCTGGGATACATGTTTCAATACTAACTACGGAGTAGGGCTAGATCATTAAAAAAACAGTTTATAGAGAGGCATTCTACAATGTACTTCCAATCTACAGATTTCCACAATAACTCAGTAATACTAGAAATTAATTTTTCATATACATGACCAATGAGAAGAAAAAGTAACTTCAGCAATGTAGGTACATTCCCTTTTCTTTAAGCTTGTTTGTTAACCAAATTTTATAACAGTAAATAATAATCTTATCAGAGAATAATGAGCCCTTGTTGTATAAAAAGAAACCTTGAGTTTGAAATGGTTCCACTGGTGAAACATTTCACGTGAAACTCTTATTACAGTTGATCTTATGGGAGACATTAAGCAAAATCAAATAAACTGTGTGTCTGGCATATTTTAGTTAGTGACAAAAATACTCTAATTACACCTATCTATGAATTGACTAAAATGAAATCGATTCAACTATTAGATTCCTATTATATTCTACAGCTCTAATACACTATGTTAACAATTAGTCCCTATCCAGTTTCAAATTGAGCCTTTGTACAGTCCCTTAATAGAATAATACTAACAGAGACACGAGACTTGGGTAGGGAGAGACAAAAACATCTTGCTGTTGTTCTGGCTCTCCAAGCAGCCTCGGTGGAAGGCAGGTCAACTTAGATACGAGGCACTAGTGCTTCCAGACTGTGGACAGAGGAGCAAACGGAGTGGCTGGTGCTGAGACACTGCTCATTGCCAGGGGAGAGCAGTCCGGGGCCCTTTGCAGAGACGACTCAGGGAGCTTTGTCCTCACTTTCCAGAATCCGGGGAAGACGGGGTTTTTCTCTGCACATGACTTGCCTCCTGGAACCCTTTTCAACATCTGACCTCCGACCAAGGACACTGTGAAGGTTTCACTCTACTAAGTACACAGAGCCTGTGCCAGCTGCTCGTCTATCACGTGCGAGGACTGAGCCAGAGGAAGCCGTTGAGCTCCTGTCTCCGTGAGGGGCACCAAGACAAACTGTGCCTCTCTCTTGTGGAGGGCCTGCCAAATCAGAACGGAGGTGGTCAACTGGGAGGGACTCCTCGGAGAGGCAGCTGGCCAGTGCCGGGAGCGGGGCCCTTTGTTCCCCCTCATCACAGCCTGGGGACCTTCTTTCCTCTGTGATCTGGTTGTCCAGATGATTCCTGGTATTTCTTTCAAGGCCTCTGACAAATGTACCATTTGGAGTATCAGGAATGGATACTTTCAGATCTTTTAAGTTCAATCAATTCTTGAGTGATATTTGAATTTTCTTTGGGTATGTTCTTTTTTTTNTCATTAATCTACAATTACATGAAGAACATTATGTTTACTAGGCTCCCCCCTTCACCAAGTCCCCCCCACATACCCCTTCACAGTCACTGTCCATCCGCATAGTAAGATGCTGTAAAGTCACTACTGGTCTTCTCTGTGTTGGGCAGCCCTCCCCGTGACCCCTTCACACTATACATGCTAATCGTAATGCCCCCTTTCTTTTTCCCTGCCCTTGTCCCTCCCTTCCCACCCATCCTCCCCAGTCCCTTTCCCTTTAGTATGTTCTTGAGACTTCTCGGCTGACAGCTCTCATCTCAACAATATGACCTTTCCTTTCCTGAGAAGTCAGAGGGATTTGATAATAGCCAGTGATTCTTCATAGTTTACCTGAAATAATTCCTAGTGGTATTTTGTAAGTGTACAGGTTTTCACATGCATTCGCTGATTTGCTTATGTTTGCATCTTTTTTGGAAAGATTCTTCTTTTTCTTACAGGGTAAATTCTCTGTAAATTGGATTTGAGATACAAATTTGTTTTTCTACAAGCAGTAGAACTTGATGTTTCTGTTGGAGCTTTTACCTCTCACTTTCTGACTGGGTGTTTTCTAACTGAAGCCAGTGTTTCTTGATTTGGAAACTTTCCATATGATGTTTCAGTAGATCCATTACTTTAGCCAGTCCAGTTAATTTCTTGTGTATTTGGTTACTTTCTATTTGAGATGTTGTAAATAAATATGTAACTATACCACATTCAAAACTCTCTGGGATTTATCTTGTAACAGATTTTCATTAGACGTGCATTCAGTATATCCAATTCCAAGCTCCCATGGTTCATGTTGTATTTCCCCAAAAGCAGCAGTTCTGTAGCTCATCTTTAGCAAGGTTCACCTACAGGCTTGATCTGATTTTATTACCGGGAACTTACTCCACAGGCAGTTTAGGGTTTTCTGAAACATTATTTTTTTCCTCTTTTAATAAATTTGCCCACTTCTACCATTTTTGAGATTCTTGTGAAAGCATCTGCATGCATCTCTGAAGATAAGAAATTTCTTCCAAAGCCTCTGTTAATGGTGTCCAAACCAATTCTCCATTTTTCTGATGGGTTTTAAAGGATATTTTGGCTGCAAATATTTGATGTTGCTCTTGCTTTGTTGAGTCATCTGAGGCCTGAGTCTTACCTGTAATGTCAGTTACCAGCCAAACTTGTAAACAGTCAGATTTCTCTTTCCATGCTTTTCTACAAGAATTTCTTTTAAGACAAAATGAAGATGTTTAGCTTTCAAGCTCTTTCCTCATGGTCTTTACATTTGCTAGAACTGAAAGTTCTCAAGCTAATTTCTAGTACAGTTAATTGAAGGTCTCCACATTCTTTTGCAATGTGGCTAAAACTATCAAAAATTGTAATGCTTTTCCTTTAGAAGGGTAGAAACTGCAGTGGTCAGTTGTCTCTCTTTGCACAGTACTAAGAAGTTTTCAGCCCAAAAACCTCCACTATGATTACAAAAACTGCCATCTTCCACAGCATTCTCTGGGGCTCTGGGCCTGGACTGAGGTGTTTTGGCAGTGGTGTTCCCACCTGGAACAAGGGCTCCAGGGTCAGCATAATTCAAAGCATCTCATCCCTCAGTGGCTTCCAAGGTCACTGCTAAGTCATCTCAGAATGCCAGGATCCTGGGGCCACCCCTGATAACAGAGTGCAATGATGACGATTCTTCCCAGGACCTCCTTGGTGCCAGGCAACCACGACAGACCTCAGTGGAGGTGACTGAGGGAACAAAAAAGATGAAGAGTGTTTACCATACCCTTACAGCTTGATCCACAAAGAAAGTGGTCATATCCCATGGCCATGGGGTACTGACAAGGCTCTGTGGGCCACAGGGAAGGGCCTTTGGCTCCAGCCACCTTAAGCCCTTCTTGGCTGCCTCAAGAAGAGAAGTAGTAAATGTCCTTCCGTACCCTGCTTTCTATTCAACAATCTTTTAGTTTTGTGGCCTTGGAGACCTGACCTAGCCCATCATGATTGGAGAGAACCGCCTTTGAGCGCTCTCCTTGATTGGCATCTGCCTCACCTTGGATTTGTTTGGGGAAGGATGTGAGAGAGGTTATGAGGAATCTTGCGTGAGGTT